GGAGATACACAATACAATATAAACAATAAAATAATTAAATTAAATCGCGACTTTTTCGCGGGCAACACACACGGACGGAAGCTTGCGTTGCCTCCGAAACGTCGAGATTTAATTTAAATTTCAAATTTTTTCACCTCCGTGACTTTACCGAAAAAAACACAGAGTATGCGCGTAGACTCTTTGGTTATTTCTATTTTATATTAAAATGTTCACCACGTGACTTTACCGAAAGAAGCAAAGGATATGGATCTATCAGTCACGAAAAACTTCAAATCGACTGCTGCACACACAGACTGTGGCCAGTGTTGAGTTTATGGGCAGCGCTTATCAGCTCTACGGAATTTAGCCCCGCTGCCACGTGGTCGCCTATCCGCGCTACGTTTTCTAAACGCGCCCTGCTAAAGCCACGCGTTCCCACCAGCGGTCCGTCTCCCGCCCTGGTTGTGGTAGCGAAACGTCGAACCTCCTCCTCCACCTCCACCTCCACCCCACCACCTCCACCTCCACACGAGGCAATAGCTTCGTGTGTCACCTCCTCGCCACGACGGAGTAGAGAGCTCAAGACCCCCACCACCCACACAGACGTCTACGGAGCGAACCACGAGGTGAGTGAGTGCAGCCCTAGGCCACATTGCCCAGCCTGGTTGGGCTGGGCTGGCCTGGGATTGGGCTGGGCTGATCCCCCCACCACCATCCCCTGTGGTCTTTGTGGAACAGTTGAGGGGTCTAAACTGTGTTGGTCAATCCCCCGTGGAATGTAACATTCATGTAAATGTCTAAGTCGAGATCATTTAATCAGAATCTGGGGTCGTGACGGTGACTAGGTGGATGTTAACTCATTCGCCTGGTCTACAGGAGGTCATGAGTTCGATCGCGACCCTGTAGAGATTGACTACCTCGCCTGGTCTACAGGAGGTCGTGGGTTCCATCATGTCCCTGTAGAGATGTTAACTCCCTCGCCTGGTCTACAGGAGGTCGTGAGTTCGATCCCAACCATGACGCCCCTCTATCAAGTTCAAGTTTATGTATTAGGTGTAGCCCTGTGAGCCATTCGGTTCTTGAATCGGGTGCAACCGCAACAAACAAAAAACAAAAAAATGAACAAGAAAACATCTTAAAGTGAATATGTGACTAAGTGCAAACAGAAAAACTAAGAAAAGACCAAAATATTGCGGAAAAAAACACCGTACACCAACCCTGTGTGCAAAAATCCCAGTGGGATGCAAGTCAAACAACAACAACCACAAGACAACTTAGATTAAGGCCATCAGTCTTACTCCGTACTACAACAAACAAACATGGCCAAACGAAAAAAAAAGGGCCGAACAAAAGCTGTTTAGGCACGCAGTGGCTGGGCATGTGGGTTACATGACCCAGCCAACGCAGCCTTGCCTGCCGGAGGAGCTCACCGATAGGACTTTGTCCAGGTCTTTCAAGGATTTGTGAGCTCCACCGGTTAAGATAGATCGTAGACAGGCCAGCCTCAATGTTTAGGCTGGTCTGTCTAGAATTTCCCTTGGGAGATCATCTCTGCCTGGTGCCTTTCCTGGTCGCCTTCAGGACTTCCTCAACTGATGGCCCCTCAGCCACCCACTCACAGCATTTGAGGCACCGCAGCCTCAGCAGGGTCATCCCCACTTTTCAAATCTACAAACCTGTTCATGGGGGGGATCGGAGATTGGATCACCATACTTTCCCCTAATGACGGTGATAGGTGTGGCACTACAATTTACGTTTTTGATGGAATTAAACAGCGATGTCTGATCACGGGCTACTGAGGCAGATTCCATCTCCTCAGAAACCTGCGACCACCACCCATCATTGCAGCACCTCCCGGCTCTCAAAACCTCTGAGCGAAGGCTGCGGTAAGCCTCCTCATTCTCTGACGTGGAATGCTGTAGACCAGGGGTCCTCAAACTACGGCCCACGGGCCACATGCGGCCCGCCGAGGACATTTATCCGGCCCGCCGGGTGTTTTTGCCGCCGCTGCCTGTCTGTTACTTTTTTTCTACATGAGAAGGACGGTCATTGGTGGAAGAGGGAGAGGGGGCGGAGTTTCCCCCAATCAGACTGCATTGATGGGCAGTGCAGTCTGTATGTCTCTGTGTGGGCAAAGTTATTGCTGGTATATTGTTTTTGTAGCGCTGTATATATTGGTATTTTACTAATAGCAATTTTGACTCCCTAGGAAACAATGATGTCAAGAAAGAGAAAAATTGACTCGGAGTGTAGGATATTCAAAGAACAGTGGACTTATGATTATTTTTTCATGCAGTACAAGGAAAGAGCTGTGTGTCTGATATGCCAGAATATAGTGTCTGTGTTCAAAGAATACAATTTACGTCAACACTATAAAACTCAACATAAAGATACATTTGCTTGTTTGGTCGGAGAAGTGAGAAAAGATACAATATTAAAACTGAAAAATACATTAACAACTCAGCGAAATAGTTTTGTGAAGCAGAAGCAGCTAAATATTTCATCACTGCGAGCAAGTTTTCAAATTGCCAAGCTAATAGCATGCACTGGCAGACCATTCGTGGAGGGAGAATTTGTTAAAGAAAGCCTTCTTTCTGTTGCCAAAGAGATGTGTCCAGAGAAGGCCGATTTATTTAGTACAGTGAGTCTTTCAGGACCTACAATTACACGGAGGATTGAAGAAATGGGAGACAATTTGCATCAGCATTTGCAAAACTCCACAAAAAAACTTTCCTATTTTTCCTTGGCACTCGACGAAAGCAATGATGTTCGTGATTCTGCACAACTTCAAATTTTTATTCGTGCGACGAATGACTATTTCGAAGTCACAGAAGAGCTTGCTGCACTGCAAAGCATCAAAGGAACAACTACAGGAGAGGATATCTTTCGATTTAAAGCTTTCGTGACTGCAGGGATTCATCTTCTTGGTTCTTTCGGTAAAGTCACATAGAAGGGAAGTAATAAAATAATTCTCACGACGTTTCGGCCACAACGCAAGCAGCCGTCCTCAGTGAAAACCAGGTCTGTTGGGGAGACAGCGTCTGAATGAAAGAGCACACGAGCTTGGAGCATATATAAGCTGGGTTGGAAGCGGGGGAAAGAGCGCCTTGACAAAATAATTTCAATATCAAGAGGAATTTAGCATATTTATGGGAAATGCAGGAATGTGATTAGTACTACATATGCCCGTGCTGCATATGTAGTACTAATAACATTCCTGCATGTCCCATAAATATGATAAATTCCTCTTGATATGCAAATTATTTGTCAAGGCGCTCTTTCCCCCGTTTCCAACCCAGCTATATATGCTCCAAGCTCGTGTGCTGTTTCATTCAGATGCTGTCTCCCCGACAGACCTGGCTTTCACCTGAGGACGGCTGCTTGCGTTGTGGCCGAAACGTCGTGAGAATTATTTTATTATGTTTTTTTTATTATTTTATTACTTCCCTTCTACGTGACTTTACCGAAAGAACCAAGAAGAGAGGATATCTATGAAAAGGTTTGCCAAACTGTGAATGGGTTGGAGCTGAACTGGGCTAAACTAGCCAGTGTGACAACTGATGGTGCTCCTAGTATGGTGGGTCTAAGAAAGGAGTAATTGCTCGCATTAACCAAGAGATGGACAAACATAACCATTCTCATCCAATAGCCATACACTGCCTCATCCACCAACAAGCGCTGTGTAGTAAATCACTGAAGTGGGACTCGGTTATGAAATTTGTGGTATCTTGTGTTAACTTCATTAGAGCTCATGCACTAAACCACAGACAATTTCAGGCATTTCTGTCTGAGCTAAATGTTGACTATGAAGATGTTCTGTATCACACAGAAGTCCGTTGGCTGAGTCGAGGGAGAGTTTTGAAACGTTTCTATGACTTACTTCCACAGATTACAGCTTTTCTGCTTTAAAAAAACAAAGAAGTACCAGAGCTCAATGATGCAGAATGGAAATGGCACCTTGCCTTTCTGACAGATGTAACAGAGCTACTCAACAGTTTCAATGTGCAACTTCAAGGAAAGGGGAAGCTCATCTGTGATATGCAATCACATGTCAAAGCATTTGAAGTAATATTAGGCCTCCTCATCAAACAAGTGAAGGAGGAAAACTTCTGCCATCTTCCCACAACTCAAAATCTGTTAGCGGAAAAACCATTGGTTGCATTCCCAAACAAAACGTGTGGATTCACTGGAAAATTGCAAAAGGAGTTCCAATTTGGATTTAAAGAGCTTCATCTCCGTGAACAGGACATACAGCTTTTCCGTAACCCATTTTCTATTGACATTGAAAATGTGGATACAATTTACCAAATGGAACTGGCTGAACTGCAGAATTGTGACTCTGAAAGACGCATTCAAGTCAAGCAGCCTTCATAATTTCTATGCATCTCTCCCCTCTGAGACATATCCTCATCTCAGGAACCATGCACTCAAAATGGCAACCATCTTTGGCAGCACTTATGTGTGAACAGACTTTTTCCAGAATGAAACATTTGAAATCTCCAACCAGATCTAGACTAATGGATGCACACTTGCATCACTTGTTACGACTACCAGTGACAAATATGGAACCGGACATTGACCATCTCATTAGCCAAAGCAGGCCCATAGTTCCCATTGAAATACTGGCAAGTTTGTTGATTTAACTTTACTTGTTCTTCATTTTAAATATTGTATTTATTCCCGTTTTGTTTCTTCACTTCAAAATAAGATATATGCAGTGTGCATAGGAATTTGTTCATAGTTTTTTTAACTATAGTCCGGCCCTCCAACGGTCTGAGGGACAGTGAACTGGCCCCTGTTTAAAAAGTTTGAGGACCCCTGCTGTAGACTATGAGAGTGGGCCTGTCGCTTTTTCTCAGCCAGCCTGAACACCTCCTCTGTCAGCCAGGGTCTCTGGGGAGGTCTGAACCGCGTACCCAAAGCAGCCATTGCAGCTGCATGAGCCACAGTCATTAACCTCGCCCATTTACCCTCGATGTGTATCTGTGACCCTCTGTGACAATTCTCTCTCTCTCTGTCTCTCTGCGACTCTCTGCTTCTGTCTCTCTTGCGTCTCTCTGTGGTCGCTGCTGCTGCTGCTGCTAGCGGCGGCGGCCTTCCGGCAGCAGAGGACATCCACGTGACCTGCGGCGTCTGCGTTCGAAGCGTTTGGGGGCGGCGGGGATGGAGCAGCAGTACGAGTCCGTGGCCGAGTTGGGCGCTGGGGTCTACGGGGCCGCGACGACTTTGAAGGCTCGCGACCTACGGGAGCAGGGCCGCTTTGTGGCGCTGCTCAAGGGCCTGCGCCTGCAGACAGGCGGGGGCCCGGAGGAAGATGCCTGGCAGCTGCTGCAGCTACAGCTGCTCACGAAGCTGGAGCACCCCAACGTGGTGAGGTGGGTGTCTCTCCCACCCCTCGCGCCGCGTCACAATCCCTCGCAATCGTCGCCGCGTCAGCCTCCATCCTCCAATTCTCCACGGTCATCGTGTCTTGAAAAGATTAGGAGACAGATCATCGTCGTCGTCGTCAAACCGAGATGACTTCTGCGCTCTCTTGCTCTGATGTCTCCGACCCCCGACCCCCGACCGGCCTGCCCCAGGCTGCTGGACGTCTTTGTGGATATTCGTGACGAGGGCGGCGCGCGTCACGCCGTGGTCTGTGAGCTCGTAGACCAGGATCTGTCCACCTACCTGGGGAAGTCGCCCCACACACCGTCCCACCACATCAAGGTGCCACCGCAGCACCACCACCACCCACCCCGTCACTCCCTACTCCACCCCCAAAAGGCAACACCACTCTCAGAGTCTCTGTGTATCTCTATGGGTCTCTGTGTGTCTCTGTGAGTCTCTATGAGTCTCTGTGTGTCTCTGTGTCTATGAGTCTCTATGAGTCTCTGTGTGTCTCTGAGTCTCTATGAGTCTCTATGAGTCTCTGTGTGTCTCTGTGTATCTCTGAGTCTCTATGAGTCTCTACCAGTCTCTGTGTATCTCGCACGCACGTTGCCAGCCGAGCCTCGGAGCGGCTAACGAGTTTACACTCCCCCCCCCCCCCTCCTTGTGTCGTGACCTTGTGCCGTGCCCTTGTGCCGTGCCCTTGCGCCGTGACCTTGCGCCGTGACCTTGTGCCGTGCCCTTGCGCCGTGCCCTTGCGCCGTGACCTTGTGCCGTGACCTTGCGCCGTGACCTTGTGCCGTGCCCTTGTGCCGTAACCTTGTGCCGTGACCTTGCGCCGTGCCCTTGCGCTGTGCCCTTGTGCCATGACCTTGTGCCGTGACCTTGCGCCGTGACCTTGTGCCGTGCCCTTGTGCCGTGACCTTGTGCCGTGACCTTGCGCCGTGACCTTGTGCCGTGACCTTGCGCCGTGCCCAGGAGGTGACGCGCCAGCTGCTGTGTGGGCTGCGCTACCTGCACGGCCACGGCCTGGAGCACCGCGAGCTCACGCCACGCAGCGTCCTGGTGACGGCCTCCGGGCGCGTCAAGATCGCCGGCTGGGGGCTCGCACGCTTCCTGGACAGCGCGAGCAGGGCTCCCACCCCGGCGGTGAGTAGAGAGAGTGAGAGAGAGAGGTCTTCTTGGTTCTTTCGGTAAAGTCGTCACGTAGAAGGGAAGTAATAAAATAATAAAAATAAAACATAATAAAATAATTCTCACGACGTTTCGGCCACAACGCAAGCAGCCGTTCTCAGGTGAAGACCAGGTCTGTCGGGGAGACAGCGTCTGAATCTGTCTTCCGGCCAACACCGGCGACGATTATCTTAACCGGTCCCGGGCCTCCCCTAGGTTGACTCAGCCCCAAAAGAGTACCCGGTGCGGTGCGCGGTAAACATCGCCACCGGGGAGACAAAGGCGGCCGGGCGCGATGCTGGCCACCCACCCCCTCGTGTGCCGGCCGTCATAGGTGCTGCTAACGGCACTTGCCCCTACGGTGTGTGAAGGCTACACGGGGGATCTTTGTCTTTGTGTGTGTGCTGCTGTAGGTGTCCCCGTCGTGGTACCGCGCCCCGGAGCTGCTGCTGCTGCGGGTGACCTGCGGCCCGGCCGCTGCCGACCTGTGGAGCGTCGGCTGCATCTTTGCTGAGATGTTTACACGCAGGTGCTCCTTGAGCACCGCCACCCGCACACCCAGCCACCTAGCAACCCACCCACCTAGCAACCCACCTAGCAACCCACCTAGCAACCCACCTAGCAACCCACCCACCTAGCAACCCACCCACCTAGCAACCCAGCCACCTAGCAACCCACCTAGCAACCCACCTAGCAACCCACCTAGCAACCCACCCACCTAGCAACCCACATAGCAACCCACCCAGCCACCTAGCAACCCACCCACCTAGCAACCCACCCACCCACCTAGCAACCCACCTAGCAACCCACCCACCTAGCAACCCACATAGCAACCCACCCACCCACCTAGCAACCCACCCACCCAGCCACCCACCCACCTAGCAACCCACCTAGCAACCCACCCACCTAGCAACCCACCCACCCACCTAGCAACCCACCCACCCACCTAGCAACCCCACCCACCTAGCAACCCACCCACCCACCTAGCAACCCACCTAGCAACCCACCCACCTAGCAACCCACCCACCCACCTAGCAACCCACCCACCCACCTAGCAACCCACCCACCCACCTAGCAACCCACCCACCTAGCAACCCACCCACCCACCTAGCAACCCACCTAGCAACCCACCCACCTAGCAACCCACCCACCCACCTAGCAACCCACCCAGCCACCTACCTAGCAACCCACCCACCCAGCAACCCACCCACCCACCAATCTAACAAACCACCCACCCACCTAGCAACCCACCCACCCAGCAACCCACCCCACCCACCTAGCAACCCACCCACCAACCCACCCACCTAGCAACCCACCCACCCACCAATCCACCAAACCACCCACCCATCAACCCACTCAACAACCCACCCACCCACCTAGCAACCCACCCACCAACCCACCCACCTAGCAACCCACCCACCCACCAATCCACCAAACCACCCACCCATCAACCCACTCAACAACCCACCCACCCACCTAGCAACCCACCCACCCACCTAGCAACCCACCCACCCACCTAGCAACCCACTCGACAACCCACCCACCAATCTACCAAACCACCAACCCACCAACTCACTCAAGAACCCACCCATCAACCCACCCACCAACCCACCCACCAACCCACCCACCTCTCCCGCACGCAATGTCACCACAGGCCTGGCAAGGTGGCGTCGCCACGGCGCCCGTGCCAGGATAGGTGCGCGTTACGGAGCGCGTGAAGGTCAAGGGACAGACCCGGCAGATGCCTCCGTGGGTCCACCTCTCCCCCATTACATCGGTGTTGTTATGATGATGATGACGACGACGACGTGTTATTATTCTCAGCGATGTCGCATCAGGTGACCTCCTTGTCTCTCCTCAACGCAGGCCTCTCTTCCCCGGAGGCTCCGATGTCGATCAGCTGACGGAGATATTCCGGTGAGTTGCTCGTGGACGAGCGTGCGGTGGGCAGCGGCGTGGGGGGCCAATAGACGGTCATCTAATTTGTTATCAGCAAGCAACGTGGGGGGAGGGGGGGAGGAGGGGGAGGGGGTGGGGAGGGGGGGAGGGTGGGAGAGGGAAGTGGGAGGAGGAGGGGGGGAGGGGGAAGGGGGAGGAGAGTGAGGTGGGGAGAGGGAAGGGGGAGGAGAAGGAGGGGGAGGAGGAGGAGGGGGGAGAGGGAAGGGGGAGGGGGGAGGGGGAAAGGGGAGGAGAAGGAGGGGGGGAGAGGAGGAGGGGGGAGGAGGAGGAGGGGGGGAGAGGGGGGAGGGGGGGAGAGGGAAGGGGGGGGAGGATTTGGCTGCTGATGTGAATTCCGCAACAGCCACTTCGTTGCGCAATCATTTATGAAATTAGGTTGATAGTCAACAGCTGAATTCTCACCGTCACCTCCGCCGCCCCCCCCCTACCCCCCCTACCCCCCTACCCCCACCCCCCCCCGTGGCCCCCACCCCAGTCTTCTGGGCGTGCCGAGCCTGGAGGAGTGGCCGCTCGGAGCCTCCCTGCCGCACGGCGCTTTTGCCGGCCTCCCCGCTGCTCCGCGGGCTCTGGCTGACTCCGTGCCGGAGGTCGGGCCGGAGGTCGGGCCGGACAACGAGAATTTGGCGATGGCGCTGATGCTGGTGAGACGCGGGCGGATTGTACGCGGCGGCAATTGTCGCGGCGGTCGAACGACGCGTTGTTCAGATGCGTGTCCGTACGGGGGTTACCGTCAAGCGGGCAATAACGCATCGTGTCTCTGTGTGTCTCTGTGTCTGTGTCTCTCGTCTCGTGTCTCTGTGTCTCTCTGTGTCTTTCGTCTCGTGTCTCTGTGTCTCTCTGTGTCTCTCTGTGTCTCTCTGTGTCTCTCCGCGCCCTCCGCACGCACGGCCGTGCCTCCCGCAGGACCTGCTGACCTTCAGCCCCCGCAAGCGCATCTCCGCGTTTGTCGCCCTGTACCATCCGTACTTCTCTGAGGCCACAGACGTGGCCACGGGCGAGAGTACGGCCACAAGCGAGGGTGCGGCCACGGGCGAGGATGAGGCCTAAGGAGTGGGCCCCGGGGCAAGGCCTAAGGAGTGGGCCCCGGGGCGAGGCCTAAGGAGTGGGCCCCGGGGCGAGGCCTAAGGAGTAGGCCCCGGGCAGCAAGGCCTAAGGAGTGGGCCCCGGGCAGCAAGGCCGAGGGAGTTTGCTTCGTTTTTCGTTGGTCGCTTGTGTTGCGCCCGAAACGTTGCGATTTGATTTGTTTTAATGTTTCACCGACGTGACTTCACCGAATAAAAGCAAGGAGTAATAAAAGTGAACTCTGAAGCAGCAAAAGAAAAGTGAAGTACCTCTTTGTTGTCATCGTGTTGTTGTTTTCACAAGTGTTGCAGTGGGCGACTTATTAAGAGCACGCCGTTACGTAGCGCAGCTACGCACAGGCGATCTGTATTGATTGTGTAGTGGTGGTATTGACGTGCGCCGGCAGTGATGGATCACGGGGCGCGGGGTTGGGCACGCGATGTGGGCGTGGCATGGACGCGCGCGCCGGTGGTGAGGCGCGCTCACACAAGCTGGGAAAAGAGGATCGTAGCGAGTGCGCAGTGATTGGTCAGATAAGTGGGTACTCTCAGCGACGTCCGCAGGAGGGGTATAAAGGGGGACGCGCGAGAGCACTCGTGGTCAGTGTTAACCAGTTGAAGACCGAAGACGGGGTGGAGGAGGTAGTGGCCCGAGACCCCTAGTCCCGCCGTCCTTGTGGGGACCGGGGCCCTGTGTGGCTCGGAGCCGAGACTGGGGGGACCGTAGTCCGACGCCCGTGTGGGTCGGGACGGTGGTACCCAGAGCCGAGACGGGCACCCCGGCTGGGTGTGTCCCGGAAGGCTACGGGGCATAAGAGCCCGTGTCAGTACAGCTGAGTGGGTGTTGGTCACCCGTGTAGCTGAGTGGGTGTTAGTCACCCGTGTAGCTGAGTGGGTGTTGGTCACCCGTGTAGCTGAGTGGGTGTTAGTCACCCGTGTAGCTGAGTGGGTGTCCGTCACCCGTGTAACTAAGTGGGTGTTTGTCACCCGTGTAACGAAGTAGGGTGTTAGTCATCCGTGTAACTACAAGTTGGTGAAAATAAAGAGTGTGCTACCCGTGAAGTCGTCTCCTGCCGAGTTACTACTTTACAATTGTATAATGCTCTAGACTTCTAGGTCAGTCATCATATATCTGTGTGACAGCGTCGCAGCCATGTGCGCACTGACACGGCCATATGACGATTGAGTATAAACCAGAGGTCGCAATCGGGTACCCGATACCCGTACCCTACACGATACCCGGCTAGCCGTACCCGGACGGGTACGGGTACCCGTTTGCGACCCTGGTGCAGCCGGGTACGGGTAGACCGTGAGTCACTGGTGAGTCACCGTGTGTCACTCATTTCCCAACGTCTTGTCTCTTACAATACAAGTTCCTAGAATCAACCCACCCGCGCCTGCAACATGGCTTCATCCCAGAGGTCGCAATCGGGTACCCGATACCCGTACCCTCCCCGATACCCGGCCGGGTACGGGTAGCCGGGTATTGGGTAGGGTACGGGTACCCGTTTGCGACCCTGGTGCGGCCGGGTATGGGTAAGGAATCAAAACCCGTTTGCGACCTCTGGTATAAACGAACTCACGTGGATACATGCCCCACACAGGGCCTGAACATTGTATCACAAGGGGTCGTTCACTCACGGTTCAATGACACAGCAATACAATTTTAGCCGTTATTAAAACGGTGCTTATACACAGATGTGTACAGGATTTCATGTTGTCCTGTTGCACGTTCTATCTGGCCACGCAGCGCTGGGAAAAGAACATCTGACTCACAAGTTGTGGGGGCCATGAGTCACAATCCCAGGTGGGTGCCAGGTGACATGAGGACCTCATTATGGGATGTCAACAATGGATGTCCTGTGAAGAATGTTTTAAGCCCCTTTTTGTAAATCCACCGTTGAAGGCCTCCTGATACCATGTTGAGCATCCATAAAGGTTGAATGAGTTTGACATTTTACTCGTAGGAACCTCTGGTTACACCAGCCCACACGGGATTATTGTGTCCGTCGTGCAGGGAGGGGCTGGGTGGGGAGCGGCTGGGTGGGGTGGGGCTGGGTGGAGAGGGTGGGGTTGGTGGGGCTGGGTGGGGAGCGTGGGGCTGGGTGGGGAGGGGCTGGTCACCCCGTGGTGACCTTATAAAACTCAACGTTTCACCTGCTCACGCCGGCTTGTGCCCGCCCTCACAGTCGGGCATATTTGCGGAATACACCACGCCGCCGTTGACCCTGCAGGCCATTGAGCGAGCAACGTTCCTAGCAGCTCCCTCCGCAGGAGGAATGTGTTTATGTGTCGTTAGACCCTCCACCACCCGATGACACAGCCCATCAGTGAGGGTTGCCACGTAAACAAAACACGCCGTGTCGTTACTCGCACAGCGGCACACAGGTGCGTTGGAGAGTAAACCCACGACAACAACGTTTACAATTCCAGTGTGAATTATAGATTTGAAGTGTTCGTGACTGCAAGGATTCATACTCTTTGGTTTTTTCGGTAAAGTCACGTGGGTACAAAATCTAAATAAATTAGATCACGACGTTTCGGGCGCAACACAAGCATCCTTCTTCAGGTAGGGACAACTTAGAAGGAGGCTTGTGTTACGCCAGAAACGTGATTTAATTTTTAACAAAAAATTAACTACGTGACCAACGAGTATAACACTGGTCAAACACTTTTTCTGCTGATTCCAAATCTGGCATCAGTTTTTGTCTATCACAGCAGGTTTTTGAGATATCAAATATTTGCATTTTCAATAAAAAACTGCAGAAGAAAAATATTAAATAAATGTGGATATCTACATAAAATGATATTATAAACACACTATCCTAAAAATACAGCACCATATTTTAACACTAAAGCAGTCACCGACTCGCAACAACTTGCAATCATAAGTGACAGAGTTAATTTCGGGTAAAATCAATGAAAATGGGGTATGCCGATAGCATAATAAGTATAACCGGTAAAAGCAAAGTTTTTCACTATAAATCCTTTATATGCGTGGCGGCTAGAGTCCTCTCGTCCTCTGGCTTGAGATGGCTGCCACCTATGGGTCAGATGATTGTCTGCCACCATTAAGCAATTGGTAATTAAATATTTAATTTGTTTTCCCTAAAAAGTGTAAAATTTTGCACAAAAAAATTTCACGAACATTAATTGTCACGCACAACGAGTCTGTGTGCAAAATGTCAGCTCGATTGGATCACGGGAAGTGGGTTAAAAAACGACCGAAAGATTTGCACGGTCCTAAGCAAGCAAGCGAACTTAATATAAAGGATTATAAAATGAGATGTGATGGAGCAAATCTGAGATCAAATTTGGAATCGGCAGCCTGAAGTGAGTCTAGAACAGCTGCACAAGTCCAGGCCAGAGACGAAGATCCCCCGTGTAGCCTGCAGCGACTGCTGGGGCAGCAGGAGCTGAACGAGTGGACGGCGACTCTGGAACCCACAACCAACCGGCGGGTGGCGAGCGATGAGGTCGGCCATAAATGACGTCACACGATTTAGGACGATTTTTGACCCCCCCCCCCCACCCCCCTCGTCACCCCCCCCCTCAAATATGACGTCACAAAGCTCTGCCCCCCACCCCCCCAAAAATAAAAATGCTTCAAATCGCTTTAAACTCTGATGTTGTAGGAGAAAACATTGATTAACAAGTCTATTTAATTAAGTAGAACGTGTTGTCTATATCTTATTGGTTCTTTCTGTAAAGTCACGTAGAAGGGAAGTAATAAAATAATAAAATGAAAATAAAACATTAAATAATATAATTATATTATTATTTAAAGTTGCGCATTTTGATGTGACGTCACATTTCTCAACCCCCCCCCCCTCGTCACGCATCGTCACAAATGTCTGACCCCCCCCCCTCCCCATAGGTGCGTGACGTCATTTATGGACGGACCCTTAGCATGAACCGTTTGCCCCCAATCAATAGGTTTTTGTTCACAATTTATTTCAATGTCCAATATATTCTAGTGCTGTGCAAGAGCCTGTCAGTGCTGTTTGTTTAACCCCCCCCCCACCAACCCTCCATCAAATGTAAACGAATGAAATCGATACTTTATAATCGATCATTATTAATATTACCACTACGCCGATCTCGGAGTGGTCAAAGCACGCGTCTGCGCATGCGCGGTTGCCACGGCGACCGCGCATGCGCAGAAGCGCTGATAGTGCGGTTGCCACGGCAACAGAGCAACACAGCAGCTGAGAGGGGTAAGTCTTGAACAGCAACTTCAACGCCCTCAGCACCAGCACCACCACCACCACGATGTTGTTGTTGTGTAGCTACTACCATAGAGTTAGTAGATACTACTCGGTAGACACTACTGCTGTAGAGGGAGCCACTTGATACTATTGTACAGTGAAGCCTCACGCAGCAATAATCTTAGTTAGAAGGATGCTACGCTGAGCCTACGATGCCTGTTTACCCAGCAAGGCCTCAACTGAGTAATAATAGTAGAAATAAAATAACTAATTATTATTTTTAATAATGAAAATTATAGAAATAAAAATAGAAATAAAAGTATAATTATATATTTCCTATTTATAGAAGAATTTCCGTTATTTTATTTTTTGCCCACGTGACTTTACCAAAAAAACCAAAGAGTATGAATCCTTGCAGCCACGGAAGCTTCACATCTCCACTTTGCGTGTCTATCTTCACCTGGTTGCGTGGATTTTCTCCCTCCGGGTCCTCCCGTTTCTCCCCCAACTTTTTGTAATCGACGTTCGTAGCCGGTATTTGCCTGCTGGACATTTACAAGTGAGAAGCCGCTTCCTTGAGCCAGCTCAATGGGCCTTACCTGCTGAAATAAAACATCGCCTTCAGTTGCGGTAGTTTGACTCTTGCGAATGAAGTCACTGGACTCCTAACGTCCGCTGTGAAGCAGACGGCAAATAGTGACAGTCTTGTATGGACGTGTGTTGAACGTTGTCACCGTACGTAGCCAACCGTGCGAATCGGAGTATCGGTACGGTTAGTAGGCACCGCAGTATTAACCAGGGCGGTTGCTGCCTTCAAACTGTGATCCTCTGCGACAATTGGTGAACGCGCTACCGCCAGGCCGTGTGTTTTCCTTCGCGAGCCCGATGCGTGCTTGAGCGTGATACTCAAAGCTCTGCACAGATAGAATCAAGAATCCATTGCTGTACCACCAACATACAATTTCATTTCTGCGCTCCCACTGATTTTCTGCGTATTTTTTTTAATTCCACGCGGCTTTGTTTCTGTTGACATTTTTGTTGTCGAAATCCGCCGCCTGCCATCCTGACCCCCGCCAGAGGTCGCAACCGGGTACCCGATACCCGTACCCTACCCGATACCCGACTACCCATACCCGGCCGGGTACGGGTAGCCGGGTATCCGTTTGCGACTCTGGTGCGGCCGGGTACGGGTTAGGCCATGAGTCACTGGTGAGTCACCGTTTGTCACTCATTTCCCAACGTCTTGTCTCTTCTCACAATTCAAGTTCCTAGAATCAACCCACCCGCGCCTGCAACATGGCTTCATCCCAGAGGTCGCAATCGGGTACCAGATACCCGTACCCTACCCGTACCAGGGTGGGTACGGGTAGGGTACGGGTGCGGCCGGGTACGGGTACGGGTAAGGAATCAAAACCCGTTTGTGACCTCTGACCCCGGCGCAGTTCTCCAACCGCCATGTACGAGGCGGCGCTGCTTGACGGCGGCACAGAGCCGCTGACGCACGAGTCCTGCGAGAGGGTCGTCGTCAACGTGTCGGGGCTGCGATTCGAGACGCGGCTCAAGACACTCGGCCAGTTCCCGGACACCCTTCTAGGCGACCCCGGCAAGAGGTCGCGCTACCACGACCCCCTGCGCAACGAGTACTTCTTCGACAGGAACCGGTCGAGTTTCGACGCCATCCTCCACTACTACCAGTCCGGCGGGCGGCTGAGACGCCCACTCAACGTCTCCCTCGAAGTGTTCGGCGAGGAGATCGAGTTCTACGAGCTCGGCATCGAGGCCGTGGTCAAGTTCTGGGAAGACGAGGGCTTCATCGGAGAGGAGGAGGTGGAGGAGGAGGAGCCGCTGCCATCGGACGAGTTCCAGCGGCGGGTGTGGCTGCTGTTCGAATACCCCGAGAGCTCCATCGCGGCCAGGGGAATTGCCACCGTGTCCGTGCTGGTCATCCTCATCTCCATCATCATATTCTGCCTCGAGACTCTGCCTGAACTCAGGGACGAGAATAAGCAGAAGTTTCTCCCGGCAAAGGACATGAACGGGACGCGGGTCGACGGCACGCATCGCGGCTCTGTCCCCGATCCATTTTTTATCGTGGAAACTATTTGCATCGTTTGGTTTTCCTTTGAACTGCTGGTGAGGTTTTTTGCGTGCCCCAACAAACTGGGATTTTTCAAAAGCATCATGAACATCATTGACATCGTGGCCATCCTGCCCTACTTCATCACCCTTGGCATCGAGATGGCCAAGCCCCAAGGGCATGACCAGCAGGCCACGTCACTGGCGATTTTGCGGATGACCCGGCTGGTGCGAGTGTTCCGGATACTCAAGCTGTCCAGGCACTCCAGGGGCTTGAAGATCCTGGGCCAGACTTTGCAGGCGAGCGCGAGCGAGCTGGGCCTGCTCGTATTTTTCCTCGTCATCGGCGTCATCCTCTTCTCCAGCGCCGTCTACTTTGCCGAGGCCGACCAACTAAACTCGGAGTTCCGAAGCATCCCCGACACCTTCTGGTGGGCCATCGTAACCATGACGACGGTGGGTTACGGCGACATGTGTCCCGTGACGGCGTGGGGCAAGGCGGTGGGCTCGCTGTGCGCCATCGCCGGCATGCTCACCATCGCCCTCCCCGTGCCCGTCATCGTCTCCAACTTCAACTACTTTTACCGCCGCGAGACGGGCGGTGAGGAGCGCGCCAGCCGCCTGCGTCTCTCAAGCCGCTTGCAGCAGCAGCAGCAGGTGGAGGAGAGAAGAAATAGCGGAAGCCGTCCACGAGCATCTCCACATACGTGGAGATGCGCGACGATCTGAGCAGCGACGTTGACTTCGAGGTGAAGATGCACCTCAAGCGCGACAAACACAACGGCATCGACAGAGACGTCCGATGCTCCGCCTTGCAAGTCGTCACGAAATGCCTCGAGGTATTTGTTCGCGATGAATGTGCACTGACATCGCTTACCTGTCGCTACGCTTGAATGGTCGAATGGACGTTTGAGTCGCGTGGTCAATAAATGTTTTCAAGTCAACTTCACGTCTGCGAACGTAAGTGTCTCCGTGTGCATAGCTGTCAATGTGGCGTTGTCTTGGAAGGAGGTTCGCGGTGAAAACCAAGCCACCCACCATTTTGCAGTGCACCGTGCAAAGACGCGACTGCAAACTTTGACAGCTGTGCAACTCCTGCCACAATGAAGCCGGGTTCATGGCTAGAGAGAGGTGATAAGTTTTAATGCAGATTTGGGATGAGTTAAATGTCGGCTTTATAACAAAATGCAATAGCTTGTATAAAGTCATGTTCAATGAAGAGTGGAGCCCCATAGGAAGCCGGTTAAATTCAAACAACCCTTTGGGTGTCCTAAAAGCCCTCTTCGTGTTTGAAGCCTCGTCAAAATCCCGACAGGAGGTCAAGGGTGGAAAAAAAACCGCTTGCCCGCCACAGCGTCCAGCGAATGGTCCATACGAGGCAAGGGTATGCATCCGCAACGGAAACATTGTCAAGCTTGCGGACATCAACACAAAATCGCAAACTGCCGACGTGCTTTTTAACAAGTTCGATCGGAGCACCCCATGGGCTGGTGGATGGTGAGATTATGTTACTGCCAAAGCCACCTGTTCAGCCTTATAGACGATTTCACTCAGTCAATAGGGTAATTCTGCTAATCTGTTGAACATATTTTGTAAGTGATGTCACAGTGAATGAGACATGTTCCCGGGGCTCCTCAACATACGAGTGCGTATACATCACAGTGCACCTCCAATTGGCACGGTGGGCTACGTACGGTGCGAAATAAATGTACATACTACACTAAAATACACTCTACACTACACAGTCTTCCACTATACACCACGATACACTACTATACACTACACTATACACCACGATACACTACACTTATACACTACACTATACACCATGATACACTACACTTATACACTATACACTACTCTACACTACACTGTCTTCCACTATACACCACGATACACTACTACGAGGATCAGTTCTAGCTACATGTGGTGAGAAAGAAGTTAAACAAATACATAGGGCACGATGCGCTACACTTATACACTACACTATACACTACACTATACACTACTATACACTACACTATACACTACTATACACTACACTTATACACTACTATACACTACACTATACACTACTATACACTACACTTATACACTACTATACACTACACTATACACTACTATACACTACACTTATACACTACACTATACACTACACTATACACTACTATACACTACACTTATACACTACTATACACTACACTATACACTACACTATACACTACACTATACACTACTATACACTACACTTATACACTACACTATACACTACACTATACACTACACTATACACTACTATACACTACACTTATACACTACTATACACTACACTTATACACTACACTATACACTACACTAAACACTACACTATACACTACTATACACTACACTATACACTACTATACACTACACTACACACTACACTATACACTACTATACACTACACTATACACTACACTTATACACTACACTATACACTACACTATACACTACACTATACACTACTACACTATACACTACTATACACTACACTATACACTACACTATACACTACACTATACACTACACTATACACTACTATACACTACACTATACACTACTATACTATACACTACACTATACACTACTATACTATACACTACTACACTATACACTACACTGTACACTACACACTACACTATACACTACACTATACACTACACTATACACTACTATACACTATACTATACACTACACTATACACTACACTATACACTACACTATACACTACACTATACACTACATTATACACTACACTATACACTACTATACACTATACTATGCGCTACACTTATATACTACACTATACACTACACTATACACTACATTATACACTACTATACACTACACTATACACTACACTATACACTACACTATACACTACTATACACTACACTATACACTACACTATACACTACACTATACACTACTATACACTACACTATACACTACACTATACACTACTCTGATTAGGATTGGCTGCGAATGGTGCAAAAGTAGTTCACCACCCACATGTAGAGGATGCCCCACCCATCCTCACACACTCGCACCGCACGTCGCAAACTCCTTCTGCACTCAAGTTGAATTTATTAGGTACCAGCGGGAGGTACCCGGCATTGCCCGGGCGAAAAAGACACACACAGACATGGACTTACACACACAGACATCGACCACACACACAAACACATCGACTTACACACACACATATGTATGGACTCAAACACACACATTGACTCACACACATATCGACTTACACACACATCGACTTACACACACACGCATCGACTTACACACACACATGGACTTACACACACACATCGACTGACACATAGACACACACATCGACTGACACATAGACTCACACACACAGCGACTCACACACACAGCGACTCACACACACGCATGGACTTACACACATCAACGTACACATACACACATCGACTTACACACATAGCGACTCACACAGACACATCGACTCAAACACACATGGACTTACAGACACATCGACTCACACACATCGACTTATGCACACACTTGCACGTAGACACACAGACTTACACACACACATATGGACTCACACACACAGACATCAACTTGAGATACACACACATGGACTCACACACACACAAGTACACACACACAGACATCGGCTTTAGATACACACACATGGACTCACACACAAGTACACACAGACATCGACTTACACACACATACAAACTTACACACACAGACATCGACTTTAGATACACACACATGGACTTACACACACACACACACGTACACACAGACATCGACTTTAGATACACACACATGGACTCTCACACACACAAGTACACACAGACATCGACTTACACACACATACAAACTTACACACACAGACATCGACTTTAGATACACACACATGGACTCACACACACACAAGTACACACAGACATCGACTTTAGATACACACACATGAACACACACACACAAGTACACACAGACATCGACTTACACACAAGTACACACACGCAGACATCGACTTTAGACACACACACATGAACACACACCCACGATAGTCTATTCCCATGTTATCTCAACGGAAATCGACTCTATAAATTCACTACAAGAATCGATTCCTAATGTTATCCCATTAAGAATCGACGCAAATGGAGATAATTGAACCGGGAATCGAATTTCTCTGCACCACGTGACTTGAGAAACGGAAACACGTGGGTCCCAGGTGGGTGTCATGGCGGTGCGAGAACTCTTCTCGAGACTTGGCCTACTCTTCCTCTCCGTCCTCCACCTCGTCACGTGCACACACGGTGAGCACAGCAGAGGTGGTTGATACATCGGGTACCAGGGTGTGGTGGACGTGGGGAGCGGTGGTGAAGTGGTTAGCGCACTGTGTGTGTGTGGGGAGCGGTGGTGCAGTGGTTAGCGCACTGTGTGTGTGTGTGTGGGGAGCGGTGGTGAAGTGGTTAGCGCACTGTGTGTGTGTGGGGAGCGGTGGTGCAGTGGTTAGCGCACTGTGTGTGTGTGGGGAGCGGTGGTGCAGTGGTTAGCGCACTGTGTGTGGGGGGGGGGGGGGAGCGGTGGTGCAGTGGTTAGCGCACTGTGTGTGTGTGGGGAGCGGTGGTGCAGTGGTTAGCGCACTGTGTGTGTGTGTGTGGGGAGCGGTGGTGAAGTGGTTAGCGCACTGTGTGTGTGTGGGGAGCGGTGGTGCAGTGGTTAGCGCACTGTGTGTGTGTGGGGAGTGGTGGTGCAGTGGTTAGCGCACTGTGTGTGTGTGTGGGGGGGGGGGGGGGAGCGGTGGTGCAGTGGTTAGCGCACTGTGTGTGTGTGGGGAGCGGTGGTGCAGTGGTTAGCGCACTGTGTGTGTGGGGGGGGGGGGGGGAGCGGTGGTGCAGTGGTTAGCGCACTGTGTGTGTGTGGGGAGCGGTGGTGCAGTGGTTAGCGCACTGTGTGTGTGTGGGGGGGGAGCGGTGGTGCAGTGGTTAGCGCACTGTGTGTGTGTGTGGGGGGAGCGGTGGTGCAGTGGTTAGCGCACTGTGTGTGTGTGTGGGGAGCGGTGGTGCAGTGGTTAGCGCACTGTGTGTGTGTGGGGAGCGGTGGTGCAGTGGTTAGCGCACTGTGTGTGTGTGTGGGGAGCGGTGGTGCAGTGGTTAGCGCACTGTGTGTGTGTGTGGGGAGCGGTGGTGCAGTGGTTAGCGCACTGTGTGTGTGTGGGGAGCGGTGGTGCAGTGGTTAGCGCACACTGCCCATCTCCGCAGCTGCGACTCCCCCTCTGAATGTCCGCGTGGAGTCTCGCGACCTGCTGACGCAACTCCGCTGGGACCACGACGCTCAAGTGGACGTCGCCACCAGCAGCAGCTCACAGCTCCTGGACGTTGCCTACAGGGTGGACAGCAAACTGTGAGATGCTTGCTCACTCGCTCACCCACTTACTCGCCCATCCACTCACTCACTCGCTCACTCACCCATCCACTTGCTCAACCACTCTCTCACTCACCCACTCACCCACCCACTCACCCACCCACTTACTCACCCACCCACTCTCTCACTCACCCACTCACTCACCCACCCACTCACCCACCCACTTACTCACCCACCCACTCTCTCACTCACCCACTCACTCACCCACCCACTCACCCACCCACTTACTCACCCACCCACTCTCTCACCCACCCACTCTCTCACCCACCCACTCTCTCACCCACCCACTCTCTCATCACCCACTCACCCACCCACTCACCCACCCACTCTCTCACTCACCCACTCACTCACCCATCCACTCTCTCACTCACCCACTCACTCACCCATCCACTCACTCACCCATCCACTCACCCACCCACCCACTCACCCAACAACTCTCTCACCCACCCACTCTCTCACTCACCCACTCACTCACCCATCCACTCACTCACCCATCCACTCACCCACCCATCCACTCACCCACCCACTCACCCACCCACTCACTCACCCACTCACACACTCAACCACTCACTCACCCACCCACTCACCCACCCACCCACTCACTCACCCACTGACTCACCCACCCACTTACTCACCCACTCACTCACCCACTCTCTCACTTGCCCACTCACTCACCCACCCACCCACTCACCCACTTACCCACCCACTCACTCACTCGCCCACTCACCCGCTTGCTCACTTACCCACTCACTCACTCACCCACTCACTCACCCACTCTCTCACTCTCTCTCTCACTCACTCACTCACCCACTCTCTCATTCACCCACTCACCCGCTTGCCCACCCACTCACCCACCCACTCACACACCCACTCACACACCCACTCCTCACCTCCTCCTCCCCGTGTCTCTGTGCAGCTATGGACGAGCCCGCTGGCGGACCGTCTGCGCTGCCACCGCAGAGACACGGTGCGATGTCTCCTCAGCGCTGCGACATCCCGGCGACCGCTATCAACTTCGCGTCAGATCCACCGTCTCATCACCACCACCAACACCACCATCATCCTCACCCTGGGTCGTGGTTGAGGTCTTACCCTTGAAGACAAGTGAGTGGCATTGTCTGTGTCTCTGTCTGTGTGTGTCTGTCTGTGTGTGTCTGTGTGTGTCTCTGTGTCTGTGTGTGAGTGTCTCTGTGTGTGTCTCTGTGTGTGTGTGAGTGTGTGTGAGTGTCTCTGTGTGTGTCTGTGTGTGTGTCTCTGTGTGTCTCTGTGTGTGTGTGTCTGTGTGTGAGAGTCTCTGTGTGTGTGTCTCTGTGTGTGTGAGTGTCTCTGTGTGTCTCTGTGAGTGTCTCTGTGTGTGAGTGTCTCTGTGTGTGTGTGTCTGTCTGTGTGTGTCTCTGTGAGTGTCTATGTGTGTGAGTGTCTCTGTGTGTGTCTATGTGTGTGTGTGTGAGTGTGTGTGAGTGTCTCTGTATGTGTCTGTGTGTGTGAGTATGTGTGAGTGTCTCTGTGTGTGTCTGTGTGTGTGTCTGTGTGTGTGTCTCTGTGTGTCTCTGTGTGTGTGTCTGTGTGTGAGAGTCTCTGTGTGTGTGTCTCTGTGTGTGTGAGTGTCTCTGTGTGTCTCTGTGAGTGTCTCTGTGTGTGAGTGTCTCTGTGTGTGTCTCTATGTGTGTGTGTGTCTCTGTGTGTGAGTGTCTCTGTGTGCTCCTCTTGCACCAACAGTCTGTTCAGGCTAGGGGGGTGAGTGAGATGACGTCATCTCCTCACCAGGTGAGTGAGATGACATCATCTCCTCACCAGGTGAGTGAGATGACGTCATCTCCTCACCAGGTGAGTGAGATGACGTCATCTCCTCACCAGGTGAGTGAGATGACGTCTCACTCACCCCTGCCCACCACCCACCCCCCCCCCCCGTGTCTCAGCCGTGCTGAGTGCTCCCACTGTCACCTTGATGCTGCACAAGAAATCGACGGAGGAGGAGGAGGACAGTGACGATGACGATGATGATGAGGAGGAGGAGTGCCGTCATGAGGATGAGGGCTACGAAGACGATGACGACCACAAAGATGACTACGACGATGACGATGATGACGACGACGACGATGATGATGACGGTGACGTCGCTGATGGTGTGGACCGTGTCAACAACCACCACAGCGATGACGATGATGATGATGACGGTGACGTCGCTGATGATGACGGTGACGGTGACGACTGGTGACGACGACGACGATGATCACGGTGACGGTGACGATGATGATGATGTGGACCGTGTCAACAACCACCACAGCGATGACGACGGTGACCACGACGATGACGACGATGATGACGATGATGACGACGATGATGATGATGATGAGGAGGAGGCGGCGGAGTGGTGGGAGCTCTCCGTGGGGATCTCCATGAGGAGGTGCGTGGAGGAGGAGAATGGCGCTTGGCGACGTGGTGCACCACCAGGAGGCAGAGATCTCCACGAGGGGGGGGTGGCACTACCAGCACGATGAGGGTGGGTGGTGGGTGGGTGAGTGGGTGGGTGAGTGGGTGGGTGAGTGAGTGGGTGGGTGGTGAGTGGGTGGGTCGGTGGGTAGGTGAGTGGGTGAGTGGGTGGGTGGGTGGGTGAGTGGGTGGGTGAATGAGTGGTGGGTGGGGTGAGTGGGTGAGTGGGTGAGTGGGTGGGTGGGTGAGTGGGTGGGTGGGTGAGTGGGTGGGTCGGTGGGTAGGTGAGTGGGTGAGTGGGTGGGTGGGTGGGTGAGTGGGTGGGTGGGTGAGTGGGTGGGTGGGTGAGTGGGTGGGTGAGTGGGTGCGTGGGTGGGTGAGTTTGAGTGGGTGGGTGGGTGGGTGAGTGGGTGGGTGGGTGGGTGAGTGGGTGGGTGGGTGGGTGAGTGGGTGGGTGGGTGATGATGCTGCTACTACTACTAATGCTGCTACTACTATAATGATGTTACTACTAATGCTGGCCAGGATCACTTTGTGGGATGTCGCTACCACCACGCCGTGCCCCCGTCTGGAGGCGAGGTTGAATACTGCGTCCGCTGAGAATCGTGGCTGACTACCCCCGGTGGAAGACAGGGGAGTGGTCTCCACTGTCCTGTGTCTCCGTCCCTCCACCACACAGCGCCGTGGGTGAGTGGGTGTGTGAGTGAGTGGGTGAGTGGTGATTGGGTGGGTGAGTGGTTGATTGAGTGAGTGGGTGAGTGGTTGAGGGTTGTGGGTGAGTGAGTGGATGTGTGAGTGGTTGAGTGAGTTGGTGGGTGAGTGGTGGGTCGGGTGACGTGCGTGAGTGAGTGTTGAGTGAGTGGTGGGTGATTGGGTAGGTGAGTGAGTGAGTGAGTGTGTGAGTGGGTGGGTGGGTGAGTGAGTGAGTGGGTGAGTGAGTGTGTGAATGGGTTAAGTGAGTGGGTGAGTGATGTGAGTGGGTGAGTGGGTGAGTGAGTGTGGTGAGTGGCTGAGTGGGTGGGTGAGTGAGTGGGTGAGTGATGTGGGTTAAGTGGGTGAGTGAGTGAGTGAGTGAGTGGGTGAGTGAGTGAGTAGGTGGGTGGCTGAGTGGGTGGTGAGTGAGTGAGTGAGTGGTGTGTGAATGGGTTTAAGTGGATGGGTGAGTGATGGGTGAGTGCAGTGGGTGTGTGAGTGGTTGAGTGAGTGGGTGAGTGAGTGGGTGAGTGTTGAGGTGAGTGGTTGAGTGAGTGGGTTAGTGGGTGAGTGGTTGAGTTGAGTGGGTGAGTTGGGGGGGGAGTGGGTGGGTGAGTGGGTGATGTGCTCTCCTCTCCCCGTGTCTCTAGTCTCTCCCCGTGTCTCTCCCGTGGCAGCTGCTGCTGCGATCTCCGTGGGGGCCACGGGAGATGCGGTGTGTGCGAGGGAGACACGGCCACTCTACGCTGCGTAGTGTCGGACAATCCAGACTCTGACGCAATCCAGTGGAGCAACCCTCATGGGCAGACACTCTACTTCCAGAGCGTCAAGGGTGAGCGCCTGTCTGTCTCTCTCTGTCTGTCTCTGTGTCTCTCTGTCTCTCTCTCTTTCGTCTCTCTGTCTCTCCTCTGTCTCTCTCTGTCTCTCTGTCTCTCTCTGTCTCTCTGTCTCTCTCTCTCCGTGTCTCAGCCCACACAGACCCGCGCGTCTCTCTGTCTCTGTCTCTCTCTGTCTCTGTGTCTCTCTCTGTCTCCGTGTCTCCGTGTCTCAGCCCACACAGACCCGCGTGTCTCTCTGTCTCTCTGTCTCTGTCTCTCTCTGTCTCAGTGTCTCTCTCTGTCTCTCTGTCTGTGTCTCTCTCTGTCTCAGTGTCTCTCTCTGTCTCTCTGTCTCTCTGTCTCTCTCTGTCTCAGTGTCTCTCTGTGTCTCCGTGTCTCAGCCCACACAGACCCGCGTGTCTCTCTGTCTCTCTGTGTCTCCGTGTCTCTCTGTGTCTCTCTGGTCTCCGTGTCTCAGCCCACACAGACCCGCGTGTCTCTCTGCTGCACTGGAGCTCTACCCGGCTGGACGTCACCATCTCCCGCGTCTCCACGGGGGACCAGGGGCTCTACAGCTGCTCCCTCTTCAGCCTGGAGACCCCCACGGCGCTACGCCCTGCTCACCGTTAGCTGTGAGCGACGCTCAACTCACCACCTCTCTCTCTCTCCACCTCAGACACACACAGACACACACAGGACACACAGACACACACAAACAGACACACAGAGAGACACACACAGATACACAGAGACCACATATACACACACACCGACACACACAGACACACACACAGAGACACACACACAGAGACACACACAGACACACACACAGTGACACACAGAGACCACACACAGACACTCACCACAGACACTTACACAGACATACACACACAGAGACACACACACAGAGACACACACAGAGACACACACAGAGACACACACAGACATACACA